ACAATTGTCTATAAATACCTATAATTTTTCAGAGAAAGGTGACGAACTCTATTGTGAAAATAATCTTTACAAATCACTTGGCCAAAATCATTTGCAAAATCTCTAAAGAGTTCATCAAAGATCATGAAAGTGTAATATCCACTCTTCAAGAGAGTCATTCTGTAATACTTAATAGATCATTGGATCTGTAAAGGAGAAAGGGTTTTTCTCCTTGTTGGTGTTTGAATCTCAACACAAGGAAAGGGAGTTCCAAGGTGTTGGAGGATTCATTTTCTTGTAAGGTTTACAAGAGTAATGGAAATCTCAAGTGAGAGACTTGAGGACTGGATGTAGGCAGGATTGGCCGAACCAGTATAAAATCAAGTTTGCAATTCTTCTTTCGCTACACTTTTAATTTCTTGTTATTAATTATAATTGTGTAGTTTGCATCATCATTCATTCTTTACATACAAATTTGTCTAAGGAAATAAATTGATAAAGAAGTAATTGGAAAAGTTTTTTTTATAAGAGGAAATTTAGAAAACTTAATTCACCCCCTCTTAAGTTAATTGAGGCTAAGTGACTAACAAAATCTCCTCCTCAGCAATTGCCCCGCTGGGTATCGAACTCATGACCTTGGCTCTGATACCAATTGTTGGATCGAGCGCTTACCACTAAGCCAAAAGTTATAGCTGATAGTCAGGGCGCAACTCTTTTTACTTAAGAGTGTAGCAGCCCAAGCGCCATGATTCGATAGTGACTTGGTCCACCTAGCCTCCGCCACGGGACAATTGATGCAACCTGCAACACCTTTTACCTTGTTACATTTTTTATTTGTAACTTTATACTTTTCAAAAATTTATTTTTTTAGCATGGTTTTGGAAAATCAGTACTTAGAGTGAAAAGATGTCACAAGCACCAAAGTATAAAATAATCATCTTACCAAAATTTTTTTATTTTTATTTTAAGTGTTTAGGATTTAAGTGTATAAAATAATTGTATTAAAATTGAGTAGTTTAAGTGATTTGATATTTATTTTTTTAATTAAAGATTGGAATTTAATTTTTTTTAAGCATAAGATATAAAGTGTGATTTTATTTCTATGTGATTAATTTGATTCGAAGGAGTTATATTTCTTTATTTAAAAATAATCTTATTTTATTAAGTTTATTTTAAATATAAGTGTCATGTGTCAAAGAAAAAAGTAAAATAATTCTATCAATTGATTATGGACTAAATATTTTTTTCAAACAAAATCAAACTGTTATAAAGCATTTAAAATCATTTTTCTTTTTTAATTTATGGCCCATTTGTGAAACCCATCATTACATTTTATTTTCTTAGAAACTACGAGTTTGAATTATTAGAATTAGTCTAATAGTGAGGTAATTGAGATAGTATGTACAAGGTCTTACATTCAAATTTTAATGTCATCAATGTAAATTCTAATGGATAAAAAAAATACTAAAGTTTGGGTGGGTCACGATTTTGTGCCTACATGAGTGACTAATGTAACATTGTATGCTTTATATGTTTTAATTAAATATTTTATGATATGTTTTGTTTAATTGTAGATATGGTGTGTTTATAGTTGTTGTATAACTCTGAGGGTAAATTGTTTATGAGACTGTTTTAGTTAGAATCAAGTTGACCAAGTTTATGAGAGGATATTTAAAGTTTCTTTTTAAAATGTGAACATCATAAGTTAATATCTTAAAGAAAGTTAGAGGAAAATTAAAGAGGTAGGCTTTAGAACTAAAGAGATCTTTCTCCATTTCTTATTCGTCAAACACCTTCTATATCCTTTCCTTAGTTATGTAAAAGTAATAGATTGATGGATTCAGAGTTTGAGAGTTGAGAATCTAAGGTTGAGTTTGTTATGTGGTGATCTCGAAAACTTTTTTTCTTCCTTCCCTTTTCTTATTTTTTGAGTGATTGGATATAAGAAAAGTAAATTAATATATATATTTTTTAAAAGTAATTGATTAAGAAAATATTTTAAAAAATAAATATCATCAATATAATTTTGTAGTTAAATGAACAACCGACGTGAAATACGGTGATATCATACACATGTAAAGATTTAAATAATTTTGTAATCCAATCATAAATGGTTACTACATAAAGACATCAAAAGGGTTGATAAAAAAAGAAGAAGAAAAGACATCAAAAGGATCACCTCTTGCCTGTTGAAAATTAAAAACCTCAAAACGATAATTTTCAAAACAAAAATGTTTATATACAGTTTCTCTTTATAAGTTTATTTTAAATTATTGTAAGCAATTAAAATCATGTCACATAATAATAATTATCTGCAATTATAATGTTTATATAAATCTTATGTGCTGACTACGTGGCCAAAAAGAAATCATCTTTGTCTTTTAATTTGTTCGTCACGGCATGTTTGTTTGGTGACTAAGCATCAATGATGCAACATTGCAAATGGTAACCCAGGGTATTTTAATGAAGGCAATGTTGCTATTTTGTGTTATTGCTATTTCATAAGCGCAATTAGAGATAATAAATATATCCGTATCCGTGGATAATATCCGAACTCGTCCTAATTTTGATGGAGGATATTCGATTTAACCAGGTACGGATATAGGTATGGGTAAAATCTGATATATTAAATCAGGTATGAATATAAGTACGGGTATATACTTACTCGTCTTGTACTGTCCCCGTTCTCATTCATAATTTAATATTTATTTCTAATTTAATTATGTTAAAGAGTTTTAATATTTTATTATGTGTGATTATTTATTATAATATAAGATAGAGAAACAACTTAATTATAATTATAATATAATAGAAAAATAATTTAAAAATATTTTATTTTTTCTTATAAAAAAATAATAATTTTGATGAGTACGAGTATATCTAATATCCAACGGGAACGAGGATGAGAATAAAAATTATATACCTAATAAATACAGTACAGAAACAGGAATAAGTTTGACTTGCAAGAACAAAAACAGATCCATACCCGATCCACCGCATTGTGATCCAAGGCAACATTGCACATTACTGACATTAGAAAAATCGATAAAAAATGTTGCTATTTTGTCCTATTCACCGGTTTCTCCCTGGCCTCAATGTACTTAACCGCATTCTTTAAGTGCAGTGCTTTTAAACTTACGATCTTTTTTTATTTGTGTTATGGGATCCACTTTAACGATTATTAAAATTTATTATTCAATATCTTTTTTTAGTGTATTTATTATATGAGAGAATAAATAATAATAAATAATATTAATTCTGATTTTAAAAATAATTTGATGTTATTTTTAATCTTATCTTTCCATTTACAATTTTACTCCAATCGAAATAATAATGAAACAAATTTTAATCAAAACAATATTTTATATTAATAAATAAAATATTATGTGATAGTATTTAATAATTTAAAAATATATTTAAATTTTATTAAAAATAATATGGTTATCTCAAATAATACTTATATTATATGTAATATTTTATTTGTATGCAATATATGTAAATTTTTTTTTATAAAATTTAAAATGTGTTATATATCTTAAAAATGACTATTAAAAACATAATGACTTTAAATTTTAAAAGAATAAAAATTTTAAAAAAAATTATTATACAAATAATTAAAACACTTTATTTTATCAGGAGTAAAAATATATTTAAACTAATTTTATTTTAATTTTTGTACATGTTAGTTATTCTTTTTTAATTTTTAATTGTTATTTTTTATTTTCATCAAAACAAAAAAGTAATTTTTATAAAATTATTCATAGACACCAATATAATACTAGAAAATGAAAAACATACCACACTATATTATAACACCAATATAATTTGAAACATACCTCACAATAACAATAATAAAACCAGCAACAACAAAAACATAATAGAGTTAAAAAATCATAAAATAATGTCTAAAACTTTAAAGTGAAATATTATTAAAATCTGTTTCATTATTGTTTTAATTGGAAGTAAAAAAAGCAAATGCAAGGACATGGTTAAAAATGACATCAAATTAGTTTTAAAAATCAGAACTAATGTTATTTATTATTATTTACTCCCTCACATAATAAATATACTAAAAAAAGATAATAGATATTGAATTTTAATAATAGTTAAAATATGCCCAAAATACACATTAGAAAAATCGTTAAACTTATTATTTTTTGAATTTTTTTTGTTAAAATTAAAGCTTTCCTTTAAGAACTTGAGTAATAAAAGTTAACATTAAATCATGACACTAATTAGAAAGGTAAGACATCAATTTATATAAAGAAAATAACAAATAGAAATATTAATCCTAAATTTTATTCTTTTCAAAATTGACGCACAAACCACCAAACTTTTTAAGTGAAAGAACGATTTGAATTAGGGATAAAGTTTACCACCAAAATATTACTCCCGCACCCACATTTGTTGTATAGACTAAAGAAGCTACACCAACATACAATCTGAGACAGATCCATCCACAGGAATAGTTTCATGAAAATACAACATTAATGATGCTAAGATCAATTTCATTTGTAGATATCTATCTACAAATTACAAGAGCTGATGCAGAAGTATAATTAAGTACCACCCACCAATCATTGATTCAATCACATCTAACACCACAAACATGCTACCTAAATAGAACAAAGAAATGCTTTCACAATATCTATTTAGAGCACTTTCACTAGGTCACTCAACCACATTTGACACATCAGTGGCCGAGGAATTCAATTTCTGAACATACAAATCGGTGAACATTAAGGACAAGCCAAAAAAATGAAACAAATATTTTACACTGAATCTACCACTTCAACCTGCTGCCTGGCCAGGTATCTTTCTCTTCTTTCTTTCTACACAAAAGGAAATGAATATGAATGAGACAAAATGAAATGATACCATATAGTTCCAATCACAAAATGGGAGAAAAACATGATTGATGTGCCTCACCCATTCATCTATAACAAGTCCTTCTCCAGCTACTCTAGGACCTGTCTCCTCTGGGGGCTTCTTTCTTGCTTCCAACGCGGCCTCGGCCTCCGCCAGCTGGCGTTTAAGTTTGTCCATAGCCTTTGAGAAAAACCATGTTTCAAATTAGAGAAGAAAAATAGTACTAATAGTTCATTTCACAAACATTGTGAATATGATGTGCAACAAATTTACTAGTAACTAATTCTTAATTATGTATGATCAAGCACAACCTACTTGGTAAAACCACACAAATTTTCGCCCATGCAACACTTTTGAGATATAAGTTACAAAAAACAATGAATAAATGATCAAATTTTGCAACGAAAAGTTCTGGCGGTGTGATGGAATTTTTTAAATTTATGTTGAATTCTTCCATCACTAATTTTAATTTTTCTAGCATGTATATTAGTCTTACAGGGGTAGGGCGTTCGGGTTCCAGAAAAACCACACGCAAAATTTGCTCTACTGCTACATGATCCCTTTGCTCGTCAAACTGCGTGAAGAATTACATGGTACAACTGTGATCAGTATTTAAAAGCATTATGGATGAAGCATGAAGATGATGCCAGACACAATGAAAAAGGGACGATAACACATTACCAGTTCTGGTACATAGTCCATTTCGCCTTTCACTTTTAAGCTCATGATTTTAAACTTAACCCTGCTCTTTTGATCAACAATTGGTTTCTCATTGTTCTCTGGTGGCTCCACAAACTTAAATACTGTCAAGTACATGACACAATTGTAAGACAACTTCCCAACTTGCAAGCATTCAACTACTTTTGTTTAAAACTAGTTTCGAAGGATAAATTACCAGTTGCAATTATACTTTCACCAGGTGCAAGAATACCACCTGGAGGGCGCATATAACAACTCTTGGGTGCAGTTGTTTGAAACTAAGATAAAAGAAAATGACAATATTAGTAGTTAACTTAACAGAGGATAAATAGATCAATCAAACAAATTGATATAATTATTTCACTGAAGTCAATACACAACCATAAGTACTTATACTATAAAATATATTCAGCGAAAGCAAATATGAAAATGGTCATGTTCAACATGTTACACTTCCTATCCTAACATCATCTAATTGTAGCAAATTTCTAAGAGTTTGAATCTGTCTTGATGAAAAACCCCAAATTTTCAAAAATATTATAGTTTCTCTAAAGAAATGTTTCTCCAGTCCAGCTAAGAAACTTTTCTGACCTCACATTTCCACATTGTAGAAAGCTGAAACACAGCTAAATAAATGTTTCCCAATAACGTCAACACACATTGACAACAAGTGTCGGCAACATTCAAAACTTCCAACCCAACCAAACTAAGCACAATTAGTCTCCAATTTTATCTTATGTGTAACACCAACATGACAATGTTACTTGTCAAATACAACTTTCTGAATTCAATAACACGAGAATAAAACAACAGTAGCCATATGCACCGCACCTTGAAAGCTACATGAGACTTGCAAGTGTTTTTAATTGCGATGGCGCTCCTAACTTGCTTACCAGGTTCATCTTCAAAACAAAGTCACACATCATATCAGACAAAAGACAAAACTAACATCCAATGCAAACTCCACACCGCATCCACGATCCTACACCAATTACAACAAAACATACAAGCAAAAAAAGGGTTAAACTATTCACCTGCTCCTTATACCTGTTTTCTTGTTTTAGTCTCTAATGAAGAAAATTGTACATTTTGATTTTAGTTCCTTCCTACATACTTTTTTTATGGTGGATTATCACTGCCAGAAATTCTTCTATGGTCTTTGTGTTAGGGACCAAAACTTAATTTTTATGGATGTGTCGGACTAAAACTCATAGGACCAAATACAAAAAAATAAACTAAAAAATGGGCACATTAGTCATGAACAATCCACTGACTAGCAATCAAATGGAAACAAGCCACAAGAAGCAGAGTCTGAATTGGTTAAGGTAACAAAAGAGAAAACAGAATCTGATGCCAAAAAGCAAAGAAGATTAATAATGAGAGACATACAAGGAAAGTAGAGCTTGTTGGGAGGATCCAAACGGAGCCTTCTCCTTGTTGGGAGAAGAGACTTAGCCACGGAAGAAACAGTGGTGGAAGGTGGATGAGTGGATCTATCAAGAGACTGAAGAATCTGACTCTGATGGTGAACACTATTATGCATAGAAGAAGTTGAAGAAGAAGATGAAGAAGCATGAGTTGTTTGCCAAAATGGCATGCTGCAAAAGCTCCAAACTTTCCCATCAGAACCCGTTTTGTCACTCTCCAGCGCCATTCTCGGCCGGGAAATGGGATTCCGGCAAGTGGGTCGCTGAATTGGAGGCAAAGTTTGAAGCTTTTGTGTTTGTGTGAAGATGGATTTTGGCACTAGTGTTGTATCAGATCAGATAGCCTTGTTGGGTTGTCTTTGCTCTTTAACGTAGTTTGCCTCAGCAAAACGAAGATTGAACGTGACCTTTCGTTCTTTGTGACTTACAACTTTTTCATGTTTTGTCCAAAATGGTGGTTCTTAGTACCTTTATGATTGGGGTAATTTGGTAGTGCAGGACACTTATTTTAACTTTTTTTTTCTTTTTTAATTTAATTAGAATCTGCTGTTATTTCTTTTACACACAATCTATTTATATATGCTAAATTTACTACTTTTTTTTAATAATTATTTTTAAAAGTTGTATTTTTAAATGATTTTCATCAGTTCTATGATGGAAATATATTCATCATATTAAATATATTTTTCATAAAAAATATTTTAATGGATTATTAAATTAATAATTGATATAAAATCTAATATAAAATTATTTTCTATTGTTTTCATATTCATAGTCTTTTTTTATTGGAACATGAATTAAATTCTATAATTTTCATGGGGAATGAACTTAATGAAACAAATTTTATTTTTTTAAATAAATAAAAAGGAGATTTAAAGATTGGTGTATTAAAATTAAAAATGGTCACTATTTTAGGAAAATCAAATTGATCTAAATTTAAAATTTAGAAAATCAAAATACATTTTAAATATAATTTGGCTTATAATTTATTTATATTAAATTAATATTTTTAAATACTAATCTAATAAAGTATATAATATTTTCAATTATTTTGGTCAATATTTAAAAATTTTCAACTAACATTAAATATAACAGATATTTATAAATTAGTATTAAACAATACTATATTCATTTTAAATTAAATTTTATACATAGACCTTTGTATGATAATTTATATTTCTTTATCAATAATTTAATAAAGTTTGAATATTTTTCAATTTATAATTTTTTTTTATATTCATATGTATCGTATAAAAACCGTAGAATGCATGAATATTTGCTAGTTATAATAATTGATGTGAAAAGCAATTAGAGCATGAGAATATGGAATTTACTATATGCCATCTGATCTCTTATATTTTGAATATCCGAATTTTGGGTATAGCATTTCACTTTCACTTGTCTATTTTGCCTTTAAACTCTACAATCAAGAAAATGATAATTTAATTTTTCATATCTCCTATTTCATTCCTAAACATTTCTTGAAGAACTCGGATTTGAGTGATATAGTTTTCTGTATTTGATATATGGCTTTGAGGTCCAACTGTGTGTGGGTTCCCGGGCTTTACAGTTGGTTTGATTCTACCCTCTCTGCAATCATTTGCAACTTCTTTTTGAGATTTCACACAAGATTTGCCATCCCCACCTTTTCATTTCCCAAGTAATTACTCAATTTGTTTCCCAAAAATATGTTACTAAAATTGATTAATTATTCACAATTTGGGATATATTATATATATCTTAACAAAACAAGTATTATTTGAGAATCTATGGTTTCTTTTTTTATTTGCTTCCTAATCTGCATTACTTAAATTGATCTGTAACTGTCTGCAAAATGATTCAACAACTGCTACAATAAAGTTGTATCCATCTTTTTTTAAGTAAAATGCTAAGTGCTTTCAAGATACTGTAAGGAATAAAAGTAGATTTTTTTTATTATTTTTTTTTTACTGAAAAAGTGTAATACCCTTATGATTTTGTCATTCTCTACTTTGCTACTTTTCTGGTGAATAACTTTAAGGAGTAATTTGTTTTTGCTAATAAAAATATTGTATTATGGTAATTGCAAACTCAATTGGTAAACAGAAACACAGAAAAGGTTGGTGGTTTTATGGTTTCGGTCGTTTTAACAAAAAGCAATTTAGATAAGAACAAAAACGAAATCAGTGTCGATAATCGACTTGGCTTGAAATGTAAACCACAAAAGGTGACAAATATGGGGAAAATAGAAAAAGCCTTTGGATATATGCTTTTACAAAATTGACATGTCAATTTTCTTTTCTTATCCCTGGAATTGATCGAATCAGAGTGTGGTTGAAAAGAATAGAGGAAGGGTTAGAGGTGTTTAAAAATGGTATGATGTTAGAACATTACAAGTTGGTGGTGTCATTAAGAATGACAACACAAGAAAACAAACTGGTCCTCCCATGTGGCCCTCTTGCAGAAGGGCATCTTTTTTTTGGTTCGTCCCTAGAGTATCCACCCCCGACAGCAGTGACTAATCTCCTCACTACGTTAGAGGCACCTCAAAAGGTGGAATAGCTAATCCCAAGATTTAACGCGGCTGCATACACAAGGCAAGATTCAAACCCCTGACCTTGCTTAAGCATGGATCAGCCGTTCTGGTGAACCACACGCTTGAGGTTGCATAAGGCATCTTTATCTCTTTTCTTGTAGATACAAAAATCATTATGAAGAATTGGTAATTATTTCAACCTCTATCAATAATCTGCCAGGGAATAATCCAACAGTTTTTGCAATACAAAGTTACTTTTCTCTTCTGCATATGAGTATGTTCACGGTTGGGATGCACTTTTAGCCAAAAAGTAATATTCAGCTTTTCCAATTTCTTTTTATATCACATTATTTTTTCTTTTTAATTTAAGAACTAATAAAATCAATTGGAACAATACTTGAGTTCTATTGAGCCTTTAAAAATGGAATTTACGTAACTTTTTTTAGATGATCACATTTACGTAATTACAAGTAATAGGTCAGAAAAAAAAAATATTTGTGTTTTATAATTTAAATATTTTTTTAAAAGGAACATCAATTATTGAAAATGATGTTGTATCTGTGAATACACAGTAGGATTCTACAATTTAAATTTAAGTTCTCATTTTTTTTATTTGTTATCTTTCAAAAGATCTTTTATTAATAAAAAAAATTGTATATTTATAAACACATGTATCTGTACTTATTTAATAACATGAGACTGTGATTATATTATAATAGTATTATAATATAATTTTTTATCATAAAAGATTAATTAATTAAAAATTTTAATTATACTATAATTTATATATTTAGTAATGTTTATTTACTATAACTTTTTGGTTGTATAAAATAAATATTTATTTTACACGCTAAACATACTAAAATCTTAGTATAAGTATATTGAAGGTTCAAAGAATTTATTTGGTTGGATTTTAACCATAAAAATTAAAAATTGAACTAAAAAATTTGTAGTTTTTTCAATTTTCAATTTTTTAGTTATTAGTTTGATTGCAGTTAAATAAAAAAGTTATTAGTTTGGTTATTTTTTTATTGACACAGTTTGATTCGGTTTTAAATACTTGTACCTACTTATATTGAGCAGGTAACACTGCGACATAATGAAGCAATTCCTTCAAAGCTTGGACCCCTCTCTACCTGCTCCTGCTTAAGGAATGTATTTGCAGGACCAGATCTTATACTGGGCTGGGCTCATATCCAACTCATCATGGCCCAGCTTGATAATTAATTACACAGGAGATTACAATTAGAAAAATCTCAATAACATAACATGCACTTGTAATTTTATAATTTTCAATATATTTTAAACAATAAAAGAAGATATATTAAAAATAGTGTGATAAGTACTCTGAAATAATACTACACAATATTTTCATGCCACTCAACTGTAACTTTATATGGCTCTAATCACTTTTATAACATTAAAAAAAAACTTGTTTTAATTAACTTGTTTTTTTGGTTCTATTGGAATAAAGATTGAAAACAAGACAACAGCTATCTCGGATACAAAACACCACAAGCATGCATCCTTTTGAAGGTAAAGACCAGTGGATGTGTTGGTTTGTACATGTTGACTAAACATTAAACACACGACTTTTTAAGGTTAATTATCCATGTGTAAGCCAATTAATCAGTTAGATCTAACCATCTTAATTTTAGAAACAAACCAAGTCGAGCTTGAGTTTGTCATATGAAAAGTTCGTTTGTTAATCTTTATTGCCAATTGTATACTAATCTTCTTTCCATTTACTTGTTTACTGCTAGAATTGAGCAGACAATTCTAATCCAAACTGATCCTTTTTACCCTCACAGGAAGGAAGAATTGGAAACACAAACAAAACAAATAAAAGCTGGGAATTGCGAACACTGAACACTGTAGTATCATTTATCAAAATTTACACAAGGAATGACACAAAGACAAGAGTTGTTTCATTACTAAACACAGAAATCTGACCCCTCATCTTCACTTGTGACAAAGCATGATTCCTTGAATTGAAAGAAAAGGAATATTTTCTTATGGGGCCAATGATATCTAATTGGGACCCCAGCAGCTTAAGTACATAACCGTCTTGAATGACTCCTCTGACTGCTTAGCCTTCTCCTTTTTTAGCCCTGTGAAGAGCATAGCAGAAGAACTAGAAGAGGATGAAGAAAGCTTCTTTGTCTGAGAGAATGAACCAACATCAACGTGGCTTTTGACATGCTGTTGAACTGATCTTAAAGCATGGTTCCACCTGCAGATACCTTGGTCTTTTAAGGCCTCCACAACTCCAACGCTAGCTGCAACGGTCCAAGCTTTAATTGCTGAACTCATCTTGTGATCTTGTAGTTCTTCTTAACTGTAGTAGGTGGGTTTTGTAGAGAGAAAATGAATGACACCAAGTATGATTTATGAATGGGGAAATGAAAGGAAGATTTCCCTTATATATATTATATAGAGGGACACATGCATGGGAATAGAAAAGTTACAAACAGGTGGAAATGGACATAGGTTTTGAGGAAACCAGGGCAAGTTTAGTAAACCGGTGGTTTTAGGAAACACAATGGGCTATGATTGAGAAAGAGGTTGTATCCATCCTGAGTAATAGGAACACGTGTTTGCTATTCAAGTTGAGGTGGCATCGTTGCTGAGACTAAGTTATCTTTTTGTAATCTTTCAAAGTTTGCAAGTTATAAAACAAATGTAGAATTTTAATTAAAGTATGCATGATGCCTAGGCAAATAAGGCAAATGGGGCAAACAAGATAGTTGGTGGTTTTGAGAGTATGATAAACCAGTGATTTAGCTTCTGAATAAAGATATTTTCTTTCCGTATAAAGATAGTTTAGCACATGCTCACTCATCACTACTCATCAACAATAGAATTTTCGTCACATGTTGAGTTTTGTTGCTTCAAGGCAAAACAAACCCACACGGTAACTTAATCACATAATATGACGTGATGTGAGACTAAAAAGGATAGAATCGCCACATACATAAAACAATTTACAATCTTATGCTATATAAAGTATAAACAATTGAATTCATCATTTAAATATTGTATTTTAGTTAATCTTGTTATTATATTTTACTAATATTTTAAGACTTTATCTTAAATTAATTTAATTTAATTAGAAAATAAATAAAATTTTATAAAAAATTATTTTTTTCTAGGACCTGAATCGAATATTGTCCCAATGATTTGATTGAATTTAACATATTAACTATTTGTATTTAACTCTTTGATTAATTTTGTAACTATATTATTACAATAAGCATCCCAACTATTATATAGAAAATTAATATTACATATTTTACATTAAATTTTAATAATTTAATCATTGAATTAAAAATTTTTAATATATAAATTAAGTTTATAAATTTAAAAATAAAAATAAAAATTATTTGATATTTTATTATATGAATTCAAGTTCATTTATAAAATATTTTTATGATTATATATTTCCAAATATTTAACTCATTAGGATGAGGATATATGGAGATTGCAATACACTAGGTATCACTAAATACTAATACTAAGGTTATAAGAACTCCAAAGATCTTCTAATGGAGATCATCCATTCAAGGTGACTTAAATATAAAAGGTAATGATAACTTTTTTAATCTTGAGACAAAGAGCGTTTTAAGAATATGAGCTTTAGGGTTCTTCTAATAAATTTAATTTTGGGATATTATTAATATATATATATATATAATATGACTAAATTATAATTTTTTTCTCTATTTTAAAATAGAAACATTTAATTCTTCTATTTTTTAAAATATAAAATTTTAGTCATATTGTTAATTTAATATTTATTGTTCATTATATTTTTACATTTCCCATTTACTTGTCACCATTTAACTATGTAATATTTACTGACATGAAATGTATGAATAAAAATTTAAAAATAACATGCAAAATATTATCATTTATATATTTGTTAACGAGTATTTGATATTAAATTCTATTAGCATGAAATTTTTTTTAGGTTCTTTTTTCAAATGCCAATAATATTAAATGTCACATCACTTAAATATATGTAAATGCTAAAATTTAATGATTAATAGATGTCAATTTGACTAAAAAACCAAAATTTTATATTTTAAAATTAGAAAAATTAAATGACTGTATTTTAAAATTGAGAGAGAAAAACTGTAAATTGAAAAAAATAAACATACTAAAAATATAATTTAGATGGGAGACAATTTCTCTAAAAAATTTAACATACATTAAATAGAACATTTTCTCCTGACTTAAATTTTTAGCATCCTAACCATTTGATTAACACTACTTGTGCCAACCCAAATTAATGTCCATTGTTTAATTATATAAAAAATAGTTACAACAAATAAAATTCAACCCAAATTAATGTCCATTATTTAATTATATAAAAAATAGTTACAACGAATAAAATTCAATCTTATAGAATCTGATAAACACATAAAACAACTAACACATTAAGATGTCAATACGTTGTTTAATTATATAAAAAATAGTTACAACAAATAAAGTTCAATCTTATATATAGAATCTGATGAAGACATACACCAACTAACACAGATGATTATTTTAGCTTAATGATATCGAATTTGAGTCCTCCTAGAAACAGTTGTGCTAAATATTTATTGAAAAAAAATTATCTAAAAACAATTGTATTAAATACTTGTAAAAAAGAATTTATCACTTATAATAATTTTATCCACGTGTAACATGTTAATGCCTAGAGATGTTCATGTGCCTAGTGGCAACATGGTGCCATAAGCTAGCATTTGGCTCTTCGATGAACAACGTTGTAGAGTTCTTTACACTACCATTGCATAAATTGTCTCTCTTTTGTGTAGACATCATCTCGCTGATGTGTTACTCCACTTTCTTTGACACGCCAAAGGTACAAAGCCCTTTCATAAATAATACATACTCGTTTTTTAATTGCTTATTAGATAGATGACTTGATGATTCCTCCAATTTCAAGGTACTTGTGACAATATTTTCACGATCAAGAATCAAACTGGAATATGCATAATGATCAGTCATGATAGACATATAATCCTTGGTTTACTGTTACAAACTAGCACAGAGCCAATATGTGAATAGAAATCTCTGACCCTATTCATCTTTGTGCCTTCAAATTAAATAAATAAATAAAAATTTGTCACTACTTAATGCTCTAATTGGGACCCCAACAGCTTAAGTACATAACAGTCCTCAATGATTCCTCTGACTGCTTCCCCTTTAATCTGCTAGAAGTAGAAACCATAGAAGAAGAGGAAAAGTTCTTTGCTTGTGACAAAGATCCAAGATGGGTTTTGATGACATGTTGAGCAGATTTGAAAGCGTGATTCCACCTACACAGACCCTGGTCCTTCAAGGCCTCCACAACTCCAACACTAGTTGCTGCAATCCAAGCTTTGTGTGCTGAACAACTCATCTCCTATACTTCTGCCTTGATCAATACTATTACTAGCTCTTTGCTTTTAGTTTTCTGGATGACACAAACTAAAGTTGATTTCTATCAGATTTTAAAGCTTTGATGAAAGAAACAGAGAAAAAGAGTTACTTAATAGAGTCCAAAGGTGAAAGACATGCCGAATATTTGGAAAAACCATTGGCAGGTGAAGCCAGTGGTTTTTGTTTTGGTAGGACCACATGTCACTGTCACTTCACTTAAGTGCCACCTAGTTGCTTTGCCAATAGCAAATTCCACGCATTTCACTGGTAGACAACGCCGCACACCGTTTTCAGGATATATTAATATTACGATTTACGAGTAAAGTAGTTTACTCTAAAATTTAATTATTCATTCTTTTATATTATGCTACAAAATCAACCAACTGCTGGTTTCTGGGAAGGGAATCGAATCGCTTGTTTGGTGCTTAACTTGTTTTTAGGCATTAAAATAACTACACTATATTCACAGCATGTTTGAAATTCGTTACACATTCTATCGATTTTAACTCAACCCTTTGAGCTATCTCAGTTACAAAACACCAAAATCATCCTTCTAAAGCAAAGTCCAGTGTTGATTTATATATCTTGACGGAACAAATGAATGTTTTTTGGTTAACTATCAATGTAAATCCAAGCAGTTAGGCCTAATCATAAAACAATCGAGTTTGAGTTTTGGCCAATTGTACAGTAGTACTCTTTTTTTTTTTTTTTTGCATTTACTGTTTACTGCTAAAATTGCTTAGCCTTGATGAGAAAAACGGACGTTGGTGGATCAATTACATGATAGTCACCTTTAACAAATGAGTTGCAATATTCCAAAATCAACAAGGACCCCAATAGCTCAAATACATTAAATTACTTTTCTCATAGAATCAACTCATGGATATTGAAGTGCATCAAGAGACTTAAGTAGCGTCTAGTTTGCTTTTCTGTTTTCAGCAATACTCTCACGATGGAATCTATATAAACACACCCTATATAAACACTCCCTTAAACGGTGATTAAATCGATCTTTCAGTATGAGCCCTGGATTTTTTAAATTGATTAAACAAAGAAGATAGGTAATACCTCCATCTCCACCTCATTTTTTCCACTTTTGAAATCAAAGCAGTTTGAATAGACAAATTTCAATGTAACGTCTTTTTATACCCTCAAAAAGAATTAGGCGCATGAAAGTGGGAAGAAAACTAAATAACACAAGTAAAACTTTGGTAATTAATGGTGAACACTATGATTTATCAAAATTTACATACTGATTGTAACATCATCAGGCAAGTAATCTACGACCCCAGAAATCTGAACCCTCATCTTTCTTTTGAGACTCAAGCTTGATTCCTAGAATTGAAAGAAAAAGAATAATTTGTTGTTGGCCTTATGTTATCTAGTTGGGACCCCAGCAGCTTAAGTACATAACCCTCTTCAATGATTCCTCTGACTGCTTTGCCTTCTCATTTTTTAGCCTTGTGGAGACCATAGCAGAAGAGGAAGAATAAGAAGAGGAAGAAATCTTCTTTGCCTGAGAGAATGACCCAACATGGCTTTTGACATGCTGTTGAACTGATCTTAAACCATGGTTCCACCTGCAGATGCCTTGGTCTTTCAAGGCTTCCACAACTCCAACGCTAGCTGCCACACTCCATGCTCTAATTGTTGAACTCATCTTGTGATGATATTGTAATATTTCTTAGACTAGTTGGCTTTTGATGAGTAGATAACACCAAAATGAGATTTACGAATGAATGAGGAAATGTGAGGAAGGTGGTCCTTTATAGAGGGAGGCACATGGAAATAGCAAAGTTGCAAACAGGTGGAAACGACCATATATTTTAGGAAAACAAGGGTAAGTAAACCGGTGGTTTTTGGAAAGACAATGGGCTATATGATTAAGGATCAGATACATGCATCCTGAGTAATAGGACTAAGAAGTAGGACCACGTGTATCTATTTGCTAAGTGCTATTGAATTTGACGTGGCATCATTGTTTGCAGCCTGACATATTTTGTATGGACCCATAAATATATAAGCATTAATATTTAATAAAATCATAGGAACCGGTAACCTTTGAAAGAAAAATGTAACATGATATGTAGGAATAAAGATCTGGCAGTATTTTATAAAGATGAACGTAATTTCCAACTTTAAAAAAAATGACTTGGCAATTGCCATTATCATCATAATTACATTTACATGACATCTAACGGTCATAATAGGATACTTGTTTTACCATACAATAACCAGGACTAAGCCAACATTGGAATAGATTATAGAAATCTCAGGTCTCATTCATTTTTGTGGCTACAAATTAAATTAAAAAATTCAAAAAAAAAAAATTCCGTCTACTTAGTTAGGACCCCAACAACTTAAGTACATAACAGTTCTTAAGGACTCCTCTGACTGCTTCTGCCCCTTCAATCCGCTAGAAGTAGAAGCCATAGAAGAAGAGGAAAATTTCTTTGCCTGTGACAAAGATCCAACGTGGCTTTTCACTTGTTTCTGAGCTAATATTAAAGCATGGTTCCACCTGCATATGCCCTGATCCTTCAAGGCCTCCACAACTCCAACACTAGTTGCCACAATCCATGCTCTCCCTGCTGAATTCATTTTGCTACTTCTATGATCAAAACTCTTTTCTAAAGTTTCTTTCAAATGACGGAAGTTATATAGCTGCAGTTGATGCTAGTGTAATGTGGTAATCAAGAGAACACTGGCAAATTAGATGTTTGTTTGATGAGGCAAATGGAGAGAAGTGTTACTTATATAGAGAGAAAGTGGCTAAGTTAATTTGGAAAAACTACTGGCATGAGAAACCATGATTTTTGGTAGGGGGAAGAAAACTAGTTACTATTGATATTGATGTTGCTGGCTATGATGATTGATCCTCCTTTGTAGGACCACATGTCTGTGTCACTTCACTCAAGTGTTACCTACTTGCTTATATAGATAAGACTCTAGCTTCACTTGAAGACAGCACGAGCACACGGTTTACTATAGAGTATAGACCCTGGTGAGTGGTGAGTGTTGAGAGTTGAGACAAATTGAAAATGCTTGATATATCGTCTTTATTTGCACTTTCTAAGTTATTATAATTACTGAACCTTAACATCAAGAATGATGTAAATAAGTAAAGTTGTACTCGTCTCAAATCTTAATAAAAGTTACTAATCAAATACATTAGACAGATAGCTCAAAAGAAAAAGTTACAAGAAAGACATGTATTACAAATTTGTTTACAAGTTAAGCTCAAATCATGGATGTGAAAATAATTAACTAGTGTTTGCACAAGTTGTCCACCTATAACGTAGCTCCATCTATGTTATATGTTAACTGAAAAATTTAAGTAGCTTTGTCTAGGATTTGTGATTGAAATGTTTCTATCAACACTTCCTGATTCACAGAAATATCATATTCATATCTGATCTATCAACTGGAATTGCTTTTCTCCGTGGCAATAATGGGGAATAGCAGGCGTGTTTACCATGGTTTTATATAGCCAGCATGTTAATAACTCAGAAATTATGACAATTTGATAACATACTAGGAAACACATTAAACATGATCTTCTTTTATGGATCGATAGTCACGGACTCCAAAATCCAGCATGGATAAAAATTAAGTGGTTGTAACAGAATGAACAAATTAAGTGCTTTATACAAGGCTAAAAGCCTCTGTTTTCTATATAGACGAATGACACAACGAGAAACATGATCCTTTTCCTTGACAAAAATGTATTTTCTAATTCTTTATCGTGAAATATGTTTCTATTGATTGTCAAGCAAACTCCAGAGTCCAGATACAACAAGAATTTTGAAAGGCTTTCCCCATAGATAGAGAGATGAGTTATCTTTCTGATCTTCGTGAGAATCGTATGATCGTATTCGTATAGTTTTATATTAATATTTATATGAAGCCTAACAAACTACAACTTACCCCAAACCAAAATTTCAACCTCAACTTTTTACATGCTAGTAAAGTTCTTCAAAGTTTGTAAGGTTTAAATTGCTTTTACTTGGTCATACTGTTTTCTTATAGCATGATCAATGCTCATTAATTAATCAAAGTTTTGTCATTTTTTCATATATGTCATATATAAATAAACAATCTTGAACCTGCATCAAAACCCTATTTTTATCCAACACAGCTTATTGAGAATGATAAGTATTTTCTTAACCCTTTTATTCAGCTGCTGCTAAAAAAAGTCCAATTTCAGTTTGTAATTTTGCATTTGTAAGCATGGTTGAGGCTTTTTATCCCTAAGATTGAACTTGAAGTTCTCAGACCAAAAGGAAAGAATGTATGTTGGAACAATCCACGTATAAAAGTGAGAATATAGATGAATGAAAAAGTGAAGGCATTTTCAATTTGGAAAACCTGACTTGTCATTTACCATATTTACATCAATTTGTCACAAAGGACAAACAATTCCTCTTACTATCCAAGAACCAATACAAATCCAATACAACTACAGAAATCTCAGGCCCCCATTGTCAAAGAACAAAAATTTAATATCCATATTTCCCTTATTCTCTAATTGGGACCCCAACAGCTCAAGTACATAACAGTCCTTAATGATTCCTCTGACTGCTTCCCCTTTAATCTGCTAGAAGAAGAAACCATAGAAGAAGAGGAAAAGTTCTTTGCTTGTGACAAAGATCCAATATGGGTTTTGATGACATGTTGAGCAGATTTGAAAGCGTGATTCCACCTACACAGACCCTGGTCCTTCAAGGCCTCCACAACTCCAACACTAGTTGCTGCAATCCAAGCTTTGTGCGCTGAACAACTCATCTCCAACTGTTTCTTTGATCAATACTATTACTAGCTCTTTGCTTTTAGTTTTCTGGATGACACAAACTAAAGTTGATTTCTATCAGATTTCAAAGCTTTGATGAAAGAAACAGAAAAAGAGTTACTTATATAGAGTCCAAAGGTAAAATACATGCCGAACATTTGGAAAAACCATTGGCTGGTGAAGCCAGTGGTTTTTGTTTTGGTAGGACCACATGTCATGTCACTGTCACTTCACTTAAGTGCCACCGAGTTACTTTGCCAATAGCAAATTCCACCGCGTATTTCACTTGTAGACAACACCCGCACACCGTTTGCAAGGATATAAAATTAATGATTGTGGTATAAAATCAATCAACTGCACACCCTGGTTTTTCGGAGGAGAATTGAATTACTTGTCTGCTGTTTAATTTTTTTAATGCATTTTAAAATTACTATATTCAAACAATGAATAACTAACTGGTCAGTTAAATGGTGATGTTTTTAATTTAACATAAACTCACTTATCTAAAGATGCATACATTCGGTCCAATAATCCACTAATCATTGGACTGGCGATAGTAATTAAATAACTTTTTAAAGGAAAACTTACAAGATTTAAATTCTTAATATTTCATGTGAAGTTTGTGTAAGATTGTGGCTACTTTTATTTTATTCAAAAATGAGTGCTTGATACAAAAGGAAAAAAAAAATTGTTGCTATGGGATTAGAGAATGAAAACCAGACAGAACAGCTAGTATCTCAGATACAAAACACCGAAGTCATCCTTATGAAGCAAAATCCATTGTTGGTATGTTTAGTCCATTGTTGATTTATATATGTTTAGGGCTTTGAGTTTTTTTATGGTTAAGTATCCATGTATAAGCCAAACAGTGCGATATTCACCTCGAAGAGGAAAATTAACGTTGGTGGATCAATTACATGATAGTCACCTTCTTTTACAAATGAGTTGCGATATTTCAATATCAATAAGGACCCATTATATTATTTTTCTGAGAGAATCAATCAACTAATGGATATTGAAGTTCATGAAGAGACTTCAGTTGCATGCAGTTCGCTTTTCAGCATTAATCTTAAGCCATGTCCTTTACCGTGATTATATTGATCTTCCTCCAATTTAGTATGAGCCTTATTTAATGTGATTAGAAACAAAGGAAATAGGAGCTACTGCCATTTCCTTCTCCTTTTTTTCTCTTCTGAAATCAAAGAGGTTTGAGCAGACAAATTTTAACATAAACTGGTGATTTTTAACCCTCATAGGAAGAATTGGGCATATGGAAGTTGAAGAAAAAAACTAAATAACACAGATAAAATTTGGTAATATGCTATACAGTGAACACTATCTTTATCAAAATTTACATAATTGTCACAAAGGCAACAATTGTTTCATTACTATACACGCTTATGACCCCAGAAATCTCAACCCTCATCTTCACTTGTGACTTGTGACAAAGCTTGATTCCTTGAATTGAAAGAAAAGTAGTATTTATTTACTTATTGGCGTTCCTTATGTTATCTAGTCGGGACCCCAACAGCTTAAGTACATAACCGTTCTCAAAGACTCCTCTGACTGTATTGCCTTCTCATGTTTTAGTCTTGTAAAGACCATAGCCGAAGAAGAAGAAAGTTTCTTTGTCTGAGAGAATGACCCGACATGGCTCTTGACATGCCGTTGAATTGACCTTAAAGCATGGTTCCACCTGCAGATTCCCTGGTCTTTCAAGACCTCCACAACTCCAACACTGGCTGCCACACTCCAAGCGTTAATTGCTGAAGTCATCTTGTAATTCTTCTCTTAGACCAAAGTAGTAAAATTTATGAATGAAGGGAATGGAAAGGTGGTCCTTAATATAAAGAGGAAAGCAGATGACATGGAAATAAAGCGGAACCAAAGCGGTGGTTTTGGGAAACACAATGAGCTATGATTCAGAATCAAATTGCATGCATCCTATGTTACAGGAACACGTGTATTTGCTAGCTGCTATTGAAGTTAATGTGACACCATTGCTCGGTGAACCAAAGACAAACTTCCACCGCCAGCACAAATAAATACTGTATAAAATACTAAGAGGATAAGCGGGTTAAGTAGACTATTTTAATTAGATCCGATAAGATTAAGTCGATTCTCAAACTAATATGATTATAATTAAGTTGGATCAAGTCACATAAATGTTTTAAAAAATTCAAACAAATAAAAAATATGTAAAAAATACTTAATACATAATTCATAATAAAAAAATATTATAATAATTATATATTAAAAAAATATAAATATTTTAAACAAAATAAAAAATAATGCAACAAGTTTTGAATTACATAATAGATAAAATTAAATTGTTTTTCTTATTTTATCTTTCTTTCAATTTAGTTAATCAATTTATTACTTAAAAATATAATTAAATATAAGTAGAAATGTGTATAACAGTATGTTGTGCGTAATATTTTTAATTTAATTTAATAACTTGTTATAGATTAGATTAGCTTGATTTCATGGAATAACAAATTCTTTAATTTGTTATTCATTTCGATTATAATTAGATAACATAAAAATTACATATTCAAATCTAATGGCCTAACTTGTAAAAATGTAATTCGGTTAGTTCTGGTAGGTTAGATTTATGAATAAATTGTTACTTCACTTACACCCTATAAAATAGAAAATAAAATTAAGGATAAAAAAATAGAGAAGATATATTATTTAAACAGATAGAAATAAAAAATAATAATAGTTATTTATTTATTTAAATTAGACGAAGAGTGAGTATAAATAAATTGATTATATAATGTAATGCATATGGTTAATTAGTAGTTTTTGATATGCGTTAAAGATATTTTTTTTTTCTAATCATAAATTTGATAGACTTATTTATTTAAGCTTAAATTTGACTCAACTTAAATATTTTGGTGCAGTATATTAATCTTAATATTATGTATAATTAAATTAAAAAATTATAATTATAATTATGATGTATTTTAAGATAAATAATATCAATATAAATATTATGTTATACAAAATGTTATTCATTATGTCCAGAAGTTTTCTTATTAATATATAATTATTTTAAAAAATATATATTTTTCTAAAATGATATGGATATCAAACTAATTTAGGACGAGCCGAAATATAAGATAGAGACCAAGAATAATAATTCGTGGCGGTAGAGAGCTTCTAAACATCATAACGTACTACAAATTTAAAACTCAATATTTTATAAATTGGTGTAAAAAAATAATTTATAAATTAAACTATCGAGTTAAATTAATCTGTGTTATCATTTAATCATCAAGTTTTAATTAATTTTCTTTAATTTAAATTTTTTTTAATAAAATTATTATAATTTAAATTTTTTTTTAACTAAAATTTACTAGAAATTTTCAAAATATGAGATACACATAAAGGATGTGGATTAATTTTACTTTATTTTTTTTTTAACTATTTCACATATGTGTGTATCTCTATCCTGTTGGAAAACTTCAGTAACTTAAATAGTAGTCTTGTTTTGTTTTTATTGTTTAGTATCTCAACATGTATCAAACATACCCCAATAATGTATCCGGTGCAGTTTCTAATCTCATCATTAACTTAATTTTTCCATTTTTTATATATTAAAACTATCAAATATCAAATTTAACTTATGACTGAGAGCTCATGCAGTTTTATATAAAAGTTAATCACCTATATATTGTTAGTGTAAAATTTTTTTACATTGATAATTAATTATATATTTTAATTTTGTCATGTCACTAGTAGAAAAATAGGATACTACGTCACCCATTTTACGTCGCACATACACACATCCGACGTAATAAAAACGCGGTGACATGGTTCGTAATTTTAGTGAAATTATTTACGTCGGCCCTATTAGGGTCCGACGTAAATAATCCAATCGCGAACTCAAAAATTTAAACCCAAACTCTCCCGCGCGTTGTGCAATCCGTCCGCCTCCTCCTCACTTATGTCTACATCTTGCTCTCTTCGTTTTCTTCGTTTTGTGCAATCAAGGTAGGTTCTTCATTTTTCCTTTTCTTCGTTTTCTTCATTGACAATGTTTTCTCATTGAAAAAAATGAATTTTTTCATGTCTTGGGGCAGTAGGTTTTTTCGCCCAAATACTTGTTCATCTACATGGCATCTTCTGCTGAGGTAACCCGTTCTTCGTTTTGCGTTGCATTCTGAGTTTTTGAAGCTGGGGAAGAAAGTGGCCAAGTCCAGGTTGGAGAACGGGCCGTTCTCCTTGGAGAACGGGGCGTTCTGCTTGGAGAACGGGGCGTTCTTCTTGGAGAACGGGTCGTTCTCCAACCAGAACGGCCCGTTCTGCTTGCAGTTGTTTTTTCTTTTCTTTTTTTAAATTTTTTACAACTTTTTACGTCGGACCTTGTGATGTCCGACGTAAATTTACGTCGGTTTTCGTGCCCCGACGTAAATTTATGTCTCCCGCTTCCACGTCGCAGCTTTTTCCGACATAAAATCCCCTAAAATGACCGACGTAAAATGTATATTCTGTACTAATGTGTCACTGTTAAAAGTAACTGTATTTATAATGACATGATATAATTAAAAAATATAATTAATTGTCAATATAAAAAAATTTTACACAGACAATATATAAGTAATTAACTCTTTATATAAACTTGTAGAGGATCTTAATCCTACTCTAAGGAGAGGATATACACTCTCAAAAAACACACCTCACGACTCTTATTCTAATGAGACCTAACTAGTAATCGCACTACAATTGCATCGATCTGTTGAAATTTTTGTGTAAACAACATTGATTTTTCTTTTATGTTTTGTACAAAGAATATTCTCAGACTCATAGTTAGATCGAGATTGATTTTTTTTTTTCTAATAAAAGTAGAGTTAAATTTTTGTCCCTCTCAATAATTCCCATATGCATGACGAATAATTAAATTGAATCTTTGTCTGTATATATACACTTAAAGAACCTAGTTATCTATTAATCGGACCTTGTCGAAATATTTGATTAACTTCCACCATAAAGTGCTCTCAAATAATACTCATCTGTTTGCTTATTAGATAGATTGGCTAATTCCTCCAATTTCATGGCACTTACGAACAAGTGATACGATGAGTATAATGTTCTCTTATTAATTCAAAATCATGAATCAAACTGGAATAGAAATTTGAGTGAGGAATAAAAGGCCAGTGTGATAGATAACACGGAAGTTTAACAGACTAACAGTGTTACCCTCTAAGAATGTAATAACAAGATTTTTAAAACTACAAGGATTTAGTTTAAAGTGTTTAAACTATGTGGATATAATTAAAAATTTAACGAAATGATAGGAAGGTAGATAAATTTAACCATTTAAAGAAAAATGGGACATAATATACGCAGGTATAAAGCTCTAGCAGTAATTTATAAATCGAAGTACTATTGATTCGTTCACATTAAAAAAATTGTGGAATCACTCCTTCATATATTTTACCAGCCTTTTGGGTGAATGTAAAGATCTAATATAAATTGACAAACTTAATTATTGTTTTCAATTCTTATTAATGAAGTGAACTACGTATAAATGTGAAAAGAAAAAGAAATATGAAGGCATAAATATTTACTATAAAAAATGTTATATATAATAAAATATAAAAAAATGATAGAAGTCTATGGGCCAAGAACTCAGTTAATAGGGTTATGGTTAAAAGGTTGGAAGATAAATGGGCTAATTTTAAGGAAAAACTCATAGTACTCTTCAGTTGGGTTGTACACTAAAAGTCTATGTAGATTAGGATTTTGTCCAAGTGAGCTTGTAAATATTTTTGGACCTTGTATTTTGGGTCATGTAGTTTAAGGTTTCTTTAGTCCATATATTTCTAAACTTTTATATCACTACAATAAATGTTACATATAGTGACATACAAAAAGTGTCACTATAAGTATAATATATGTAGGTATATATCTATTTGGCATATAGCTACACACAATTTTAATGTTGATTTTGAATGAGATTTAACAACATATTTTGAGTCTCACTATAGCTTATACCTACACTTTTTAACAATATACTAACATATATTATATTTATTGTGTATGTAAAAGTAATTTTTAGTGACACTTATTATATCACTATAGAATGTGTGTCACTATACGGCAATTTTCTTGTAGTGTATGCATAGGCTAATTAATTACATGTGCATTTACATTTTATGTGATTTAGTCTTGCATTTAGGATGAATTTGGACTCATGTACGTCAATCACATGGTGTGTCCGAAATTCACTCCTAAATGTGAACTAAATCACGTTCAAATGCAACTAGCACATGTTAGCACATGGAGTTCCAAATTCTTAGGGTGTTTGGCACCAAATTTGAATTTTAAATTTAAATTTGGTGCCTAAGGTTTAAATTAATCATACCATGATTTAATTTAAACCTTAGGTTAGCTTAGCTTTCTTAGCACTCCATCTTAACCTATATATCAAAGTTATCTATGCACATTCACTCACTTTGTTTCATCCAATGAAAATTTCATCTTCACATAGATCAAATCCTCTCTAGATTGGCATTACCAAGGATAACTTCTTCTCCACTTCGTCTTGAGCTTTCCTCTTTGTAGTTCTAGGCGCAAACTTCTTCTCTTTGAGAAGCTTAGTTCAATTTGATCATCATTTCATCTCTTCTTGACCAAATTCTCCTCCTTAAAGAATTCTCAAGGAATACAAGAAGAGGTGTTTGGTGCATCCATGGGGTTTTAGCTCACCAAGACTATATCAAAAAGTGTCATTATAGATATAATATATATATATAAGTATAATTTATTTAACATATAAATATATACAATTTTAATGTTGATTTTGAATAAAATTTAAT